TCTTATTCTAAAGCTTTGACATATTATGTCAAATATTGAAATCTTGAAACATTTCTACACATATCCATCTTAAATAATAAATATTTCCTTTCTGATTGAGCATAATAAAATTATATTGTATATCTCAAATATAATAAATAACGAGTCTTTGTGAAGAAAAGCATATGATATTTAATTTATGACGATCAATGGTACATTGTAAATACATACTATTTCAAAAGCCAATACATACTCGTACTACCACCGCTTTAGAAATAGTTACATTACGTCACTTCCTGAATTAATTGAAAGCAACACTATACAAACATTATTGACTTTTGTCATAATTATGTATATATTACAATATGGTCTATATTTGTCCGTATATACACAATCAAATGTTGGAAGAATTTGTTTCCCAAGCATTGGCGTTGATTGTCGAAAAAACAATCATTTTTTTTTCAAAACGATTTAATTTTGGTATCCAAAAGGTTGCTCATTGGCCATATAAATGAATTATCGTTTACGTTTACTTCTTTTATTCTTTTGCAGTTGGTTTAATTATAGTTATTTAGTTTTTGCATGTAAGTCAAAATACTACTTGCTTAAATTTTGCTACATTTATGATATATTTCTGCACGTTCGATGCTTTCTTCAGTCTAACATGCCCTAAATTCTTTATTATTAAAACATTATTAAACACATGTTTATTCATTTTTCTTCATTTCTCTCTTGCATAACGTGGCTTTTAATCGTTGTTCATCAGATATGTATTTTGTATGAAAATATACATGTCGAGAAAATTAAGACCATGTAAAATAAATCAAGACATTCTTTGGTATTTTTAACTAACAGTTTGTTTTCTTGTCTCGCTTGCAATATAAGTAAAATGAGATTTTTTACATTCTGGAAAACATTTGAAAAGAAGCAGCCGTTCAGCTTGGTTACAGGCGTATTATGTTTCCCTTTAAATAATTGATGATGATGTTTAAGAAACGTTCTGGAAACAAAAGACGATGTTGTTTCAAGTTGCAAATATTTTTCCATCATTTGTCGAACATCTATGAACATTATCCTATGGCAGGTTTAATGGATACGAGCTAAGTTTGATTAAGTCGCGGCCTGCATTTTTTTTTTGTTGTTGTTGCGTTTATTGTTTTTTTTCCTGACACAAGCCCTAGTTAGTAAGTTGGTATATGAATCTTGAATTATAATTGCTTTTTTTCCCCCAAAAAATAATACATTTGCAATTAAAAAGTTGTAATGTAAGATGACTATCTCATTAAGAAACAAAAAGGCCATGTTACCAAGTCAACGATACTATTCAATTAACGGAAATATCTAGGTTAGGCAATAACTGAGGTGAAGTTGTATATAATATGATGTATATCAACAATATATATATAGATAGCCCATTATATTGTTGTGACAATAAACATTGTTATATTATCCACTAATTGGATAAGCTTATGTAATATCTGGTAATGTAAATATGTTTTTATTGTTACAACAACATCAATAAATAAGGTAAAATTAGATCATGTCCTTTATGTGTCGCGGAAATTCGCGACAATTCGCGGCAGATTCCGTAGGGAAATTCCTTTACTTTGAGAAAATGTGAACTTAATTTGAAGAGAATGTTTACCTTTCGAAGCGGAGTAAATACATTTTAAGATTACTCAACTTGAGGAAATTGAATTTATAGCTTTAGCATTGTATGAATTTCAACAATCTAGGTGACGTTTTGCATTTATTATGCGTCGATATCTTTACAGCATTATTTCTTCCTCGTTCCTAACGAATGAATGGCTTTTCTTAAAACAATAACAAAATAGTTTTCCTTTTTTCCTTTTTTCAAATACCAAATCATTAAACTTTCAAAAGTAATAAAGATTTGTCTTTTTCATTATTTAACCATACAATGTATTCAAAAATAAATTGTTAACCCATTATGTATTTGGCCATTCAAAATTTCTTTGATTGTATTGGAATATCAAAAGCAAATAATTGAAAGACGCAGTTTCTGTTTATTCAACCTGTTTATGGGAAACAACGGTAAGTGCAACTTTTTTCCCATGTCCCCTAGCACCGGCTTAAGCGGTGTCTAACACTCAATACAGAAAGAACTTGCAGCAATAAAAATGAGGGACTTAATTACCTCAAGAGGTCCTCTGCATAATTAAAATTTTAAATAACATCCGCTTTTCTTCTTGATTTAATTGATTTTCTAATTTGATTGTGAAATAAGTATTTTCCGTATCCTTTTCTTTTTTTATTACCCCTTCCTACTTTTCATAAGGTTTATTTTCTTGCGTAAAAAGATTAATGTATTACAACTCGCAAACAAAATGAATGTGTTCTGTAGAACACTGACAAATAATCGTGGAAGTTGATGAGGTAAAACAGCTCAATAACTGTCCGTTGTAATTATGTGCTATTCTTTCTTTTGTGAATAGTAACCTAAATATATGTACATGTCAAATGCTACGTTTGTTCCTAAGCTAGCATGGAGGCTTTATTTTGATCTTTTCATGATTTGTTTGTTTTGTTGCAAAAAATAGACCGAAAAGTGCCACAACCTTGATGCACCATAGCACTGGCTTAAATGGCACTAAATTTTTCAACGGAATCAGAAGGACCAGTAAAATAAAACAAGACTGCGATTATTTTCATAAATTTGACATGAAAGCAACGAATTGGAAGTAAAAAATTCTTATTCCAACAAGGCAGGATACATTCCACTATTAGTTATGACGTTAAATTGATAATTGATGACGTCACAAATTCAAAAACGGGATATCGTTTGTTTTTATTAAAAATATCAGAAAATGAATTTATAACTTTTTTCTTGTTCCTAGGTTGAACAATATTTGAATAATCTTTTTCATTTTGGTTACCCGGAGTTCCAATGGCTAATTCCACCGCCCGATTAATGTCGTAAAATTCAGTTTTAATTTCCTGAAGTCAGGATATTGAACACCGTATCTTGCTCAATGCCTGATTTACAATCTAAAACAAATTCCCTTTTTTCGCGGGAACAACAGTGCACTCGATTCATGATTTTTTGCGAAATTGGAGCTCGCAGTGGTTTTAATCAAGGTTCTTGTCAACGGCCTGCTTAATTGAGTTCTCAGTAAATTTTCCGTCGTGTCATATCAATTGAAGTTCGGTTGAGGTCCAACTGTGATATGTAATCATTTTTATTAAATAACTACAAGCTCTGGATGATGTACTGTAAGAGAGAATTATCAGAGAATCTGGGGGAAATTATATGATACTGTTAAATGTGTTTATATGCATTCGAGTATGTTTCACCACATTGAACACAGACAAAATGTTCAATTATTTAGCAGGATATTTTTGGTTATAAGTGTGTGTATATGACAAAAAAATGAATTATTTATATGATTGATAAAATCAATTTTAAACTCTTTTTTTTTTACTTCCGATGAATTTGTTGTTCATATGTAAACAGTGATTTTGTAATGCATACTTTATGGCTAAACTTTGCTCTGTACGGTAAAGCTTTACGATTTGCCCTGTCTTTGTACAAACACACAATAAAACTGATCGTATTTAATAGAATATAACACCTTAAAGTTAAATGTATACTTTTTGCCTCAGTAAAACAGGCTTATATTAGATATTTTAAGTGACATAGATACAATCTAGGTCATACATGGCGACTACCCAGCTTCTTTTTTTTTTTTTTAGAAAACTTCGGCTGCATTGCCGCGCATTATTTCTGATAGAAGGGGCACCTGAGTAAATTCACCGACCTTCCGTAAATTAGCTATATTGTTTTATAGTATAGAACAATTCAGTATTCCTTGCGGGATTCGAGTCAACAAAGTAGGGAGTCAAGTGAGTTTCCGTCATCAACATGAACCGCTTGTCCAGAAATACGTAGGCCGAACATGATTATTTATTAAGCTATTTCTCTATAAACGGAGAAAGACCAACTGAATGCTTCTCGGATTACTTTATACGAATTTTTTTATGAAAGCTATTAGTTTATTAAAACACTAAGCAATTAATGTAAAGTTTCTTGTTCATGGAAACAGCGGCTTGTTTTTCGATGAGATTTGAGCCCACGAGGCCTGCAGTCCTTAGATTACTAATCCGACGCGAACTCTGCCACACCTGCGCTCTCTCGGGCTGGTTTTTATACGTAAATACGTATACAGGGTTAGATTTAATGTAGTTCAAAAACCAGGGACCAGTTAGTTAAAAGAAAATCAACAACGTTAAGTCAGGGTTGAATAAGATGTATAAATCTTATATATATAATATATATATATATATATATATATATATATATATATATATATATATATATATATATATATATATATATACATATATATATGATATATACAGACCAATAGAATATCATGAATACAAAATACTGAAAATTGAAAAAAAGTTGTTTCACTTCTGTTCTTCCTGCTAGATATTAATTTCATTAATTATTGGAGTGATTTTTTTCTCCTTTATTCTTAGAACTTCATTTATCGTTTAAGCACCCATATCATATAGAAATAAAAAGCAAACTAGCGCTTTAATGGGTTTTGGTATTTATGACAAAACCAACGTTTATGATGAAAGCATTAATAAAGCGAAGTATTGATTAACCATAAAAAGTATTGCCATAGTTACAAATGTGTCAATAATGGTAAATTTCACTGACAAACTATTTGTTTTGATATTTCTAATAAGATTTTTTATATTGATAATGATTGAAGCTTTTTGTAGTGGTTTTTTATGATGATGTTAGGTGCTTTTGCTGTTACTGCTAATGACGAAAGGTGTTATTCTTTGTAATATATCATTGTTATTATTATAATTATTATTTATAATACCATTATTAATAAATGGCAATGTACATAAAACATTGTCACCCAAAATGTCAATCCGGTACATATTTACTTCATATTTATATACAGTCCTGCGATTTATAAAGATATTTTCAACTAAATATGCAAACATATAAAAACAATACAATTAAATATATAACTTACGTTGTCCGCTAAATCGTCGAATGATATTTTCCAAAAAAGTATTTTGAGGTGCAACTAGACCCCTTCGTGCCCCCGGCATCTTTGTAGATTTATAATCTCAAATATCTGTGAAATATTTTCGGTATTTTCATACTTCCGGTATAATAAATATTTTTTTAAACTACAAACAAAATCATCCACGAATTGAGTTAATCCTTTTTCACTTTATATCCATTCTTATTCACTGTATTTATGTATCAAAGTTCAAGGTATCACTATCCCAATAATTGTGCTGTACTTTTCTTAAAGCAATAATAAAATTCATCATGAATATGTTAGACTAGAAACTTTTCCCTTTTTTCCCGTTAATATCTGTTTGCGCGTGGCTGTTACATTTTTTCTCCTCTAATAACGAACATGTCAACTAGTAGCTCTCGCAATCCTGTCACAAAAATCGATTTCACATTGGAAATATTATCAATTTTCACTTCTGTTATACCTGGCAAGTTATATTTGGCGACTTGTTTCCGAATCCCTAGGTGGCTGGCAGCGTCCTATTGGTCGCTATGACGACGGCACACGCTTCTGCTATAGAGATCGTATATGAACCTGATACACTACTTTGAGTACGCAATATCAATAGTTGAAAGAAGCGGTTAGCAATATAAATAAAGAATAAACAATGCTAAGCGGTACCTTTTTTAAAAAACACAAAAAAAGAAAAAATAGATAAAAAATTTACCAGCCTTTTGTACAGCTATCAATTACTCTATGTCGCTAATAAAGTATTGCTGAAATGGTTTAGCCAATTACAAATACTAGCTTTCGTCACTTGAAAAGAATTGTTCTGTTTAGTCGGGACATGAATATTTTAAAAGAAACGAAATTAAGTACTCTTTTGTTTCTAATATTTTCGTCTAATCGATGTATTGGACGCCGCGTTATATGATTAGCTACTGTCGACCTGCTAACAGCTGTTATAGTGTATGTTAAACAGCGAATACGTCCAAATGTACCGATGACCATTTGTATGATTCCTTCATTTTTATCGGTTTTGTAGTTAAATTTTCATTTCATGACTTTCTTTTCTTTATTTTGAAGAATTTAAAGTAGATTTATTAACATTTATTAACAAATATAAAAAATGATGTATGTAAAATAAATTGGAAAAATGATATTGAGATTATTTCAAATGATTTTTTTTATACTTAATATTTATTTATCTGTACATTAAAGGTACACATTCTTTTTTATATGTTTGACTTGTGAAAATCTATTTATAGAAAGATCGATCTTTCATTTTAACAGTACATTATTTTTACTAAGATCTATGAATACATTAGACTAAAAAGTCTTATATTTGTTTGTTTTATAATATATTTTTTTACATTTTTATGGAGTTACTTTGTGCGAATTTCATTTAAATATAATATAATCAATAAAAATTGTGGTTTATTTTGACGCATCTGTCTTTAAATAATTGAGTGTATTGATAAAAGGGACCACAATGACTTTTTTAGACAGGAAAATGATTGTCCGAGATTTATGTAAAATTTGAAGTCGGTCTGGACGCAAAATTTCAAATCATTCAATTCCAGAATAAACTTTATTATTGTAAAAAATGACCAAAAAAATAAAAAAAATAATATGAAAGAAACATAAATTAAAAAGGATAAAGAACAAAAAAAACGCGCTTTTTACTCAAACTGGTATATAAAAAAAATCCAACACAATATCGATCTTCTTTTGATTCAGAGTCATTTACATTATTACCTTTTTCATATTTTCTTCGTTTTAAGTGCCCAAATTCATCTTCATTTTTAAAATTTTATGATTTTATACATTTGAGGCTTTGAGCAACTCTTTTTACTAATACATGTATAGCTGTTTATGTTTATTTATCGTTAATATATACGCTTTATTCTAAGATTAAACCTTTTTTTACATGTTTACTTTAATTTATATTTTATTGTTTATTTATACTTTATAGTTCATTTATAGTTTACTGATACTTTATTTTGCATTGCACATTTCATCACGTAGCTTATACTTATAATAAAATAATAATAATATAATAAAAGTTTTTGATTTCATGATTATTTTTGAATTTGCACATAATTCTTTGTATATTTTTATTATACATTTAACTCGTTTCAATAGAGAAATCTTATTGTATTTATAATTCTAAAGCGTTGTTCCTAATCGATAATAAATAATTTTATCAGGGATGCGGCCATGAAACTGTGGAACTGACCACGGACATGTTTTAAAGCAGCATGCCTACAGATTCATGCTAATTTTCATGAAAATTTTGAAAATGAATTTAAAAGTAAAAATATTGTGGCATGAAGAAAAAAAGTAATTTACACATTGCAAACGGCGCTTACAATTCTCGTAAATTGCCAAATACATGTCAAATAATGCAAAAATAGCCTTTACTTTTGATGTTATCTTTAACAAATACATGTATATCAAAATATTATTATATCTTCTCATATCATTTGAATTTCTCATTTAAGGATCTCATGTACCCTTGTAGTTGCCCATGCGTGACATGCGATCACGTGAGGAAGCTGATAATTTAATGCGACATGCACTAGGTCAGTTGATTTCATTTTCGATGCCTGTATTTAAACAGAAAGACAGACCTTAGGTCTACCTCCACCAGTTTTCGGCCACTTGTGGAGAAATTGGGAACTATAAGGACAAAACAAAATTGTGTTAAAATTGACGTTAAAGCTGCATGCCTCCAGATGAGCCAACATATTTCAAGAAAATCAAACTTGAGAAAAACTTTTTAAGATGTTAAGAGAAGTAAAATGAGTCAAGTTTTAATGTTCATGCTATATGCGATTAAAGACCGATTTTGCAGTATTTATCATCACATGTCTACTGCGTGACTAACGCTGTATAGATTATTTTTGCATTATTTGACATGTTTTTGGTAATTTACGTGAAATGTGTCTTTTGCAATATGTAAATTACTTTCTTTGTTCACGTCACAATATTTCACTTTTAAAATAATTTTCAAAATTTTCAAAACAATAAACATACATCAGGAGGCATGCTGCTTTAAAGCCAGAAAATCAAGTCAGTAAATAAACACTAGACTAGCTGGGTAGTTGCTACATGGCAATTAAAATGTCTGCATGACTTACACGTGAGCTAAATTATGATATATAAATATGTATCTATGTATCTATTTTTGTCTAGTTAATTGCATGTGATGTACTCATGGGTTGTTAGCCATTTATAACCTCAAAGGACACACGTAATAGTAACAAATATTAAAACATCACTGAAATGAATTTATCAAAATATTTACTTCTAATTTAACGATTTATTGGAAATTAGTATCGATAGTAAACAGTGTAACTATATATAATTGTACTAATTTGCTTAATCAAAGCATAAAAGTATATTTAATTCATAAACTCAATCATGCAGCGACCTGAAAACGTGCGCATACGTTTTGAATATGTTAATAATTAATTATTCAAGAGTACGTCAGCAGGTATATAGTGCGAATGTACTGCCTATTTGCAATGTCATTTCACGACCATTTTCTTCAAATAGCATGGTCCGTATTTCTATGGTGGCTGATTTGTGCCTTTTATTTTCGCTCCGCGGGGTACCGGACGAAATACACGATAATACTACAGTCACCACTCTGTAGTACTTTCGATCTGCGGAGCGCAAGGCAGAAACACGATAATGCATCAGAGTCACCACGTGTTTTCGCCTGTCGACCCATGGCTGGAAAATACAAAACTCGAAAATACGACAAAATAAATACTTTATCGTATTTCCGCTCCGCGGGGCGGCAGGAGACTTTGTGGCAATTTTGTGTTTTCGCCTTGCACCCCGCCTATCGCCCGCTAAGCGAAAATATAACATGGCACAGATTAGCCACCGTGTATTGCTAAGATTATTTAAAAAAATCATTCTAATAATATTTAGTTTGTTACTAATCCAGTAGTATGAGAATACGCTATGTATGTTATAGCTGTATTGAAGATGAATTTCAATCTGTGTATGTTAATATTAAAATAGAGACTGTCTTGATAAGTTTAATTTTATAAAGATAAAGAATATATTAAAGTAAATCAAACTTTAATAAATAAACAATTTTAACAATTTTGTATATACATAAGAATTTATGCAGAGAAAATTCTAAAGATTGTTTTTTACTTCCATTTTTCGTTTTCTATTCTTTTCATAAATTAAAACGAATGAATGAATGAATGAATGAATAAATGAGTGAACGAACGAACGAACGAACGAACGAACGAACGAACGAATGAAAATATGAGTAATAATGCCATGTTTAGATGCTTCAAATATAAGTTAAATGTATAAACATGTATTTATTTCAACTTGTCATATGTTTTAAATCTGTCTTCAGTGAAATATCTAGAGAAGCCAAAACTGGAATAAACTAAAGTTCACTTGTATGTACATTTGTTAACAATAACCTTTACACTCATGTGCCGATTTAAAGCTGCATGCCTCAAGTTGAGCCAAAATATGTAAAAAAAATCAAATTTCAGGAAAAATGTTCTTAGATTAGAAGAAACGAAAAATGATCCAAAATTCAAGTGATAATCTATAGGTTATATACAATTATTGACTTATTATAAGTATTTATAACCATATTTCTACTGCGTGACTAACACAATAATGGTAATTTTTGCATATTTTGACCACTTTTGATAGTTTACGTAAACATAATGTGCCGTTTGCAGTGTTTAAATTATTTTCTTTGTTCATTTTACAATAATGTACTTTAAATGCATTTTAAAAAATTTCATGTAAATAACCATAAATCTAGAGGCATGCTGCTTTAATTAATTGTGACATGCTCGTTATTTAAAAATAATTCAACTCTCATCGTGGGCAAGCCATTGTTTCCTCTAGGAAGACACTTTACACTCATTTTTAAGCTTTCGTTGTTTCGAGAAACGGATTCGAGAATATATCAAATAAGCTTATAGCTTCCTGAATACACACAAATAATAAAAAACCGAAAATAATAATAAAAATAAATAATCTCTTAACCTTTTCCCTTATATAAGCGTGTTTCGACGGCTTTTTGCCCCCCCCCTTTTGAGGCCTCAAACAGTGAAAAAATGCCCTATTTAGGCCCCAAACACTGTCTTTTGTTTGAGAAATGTTGTTAAAAAAAGTGACCATTTTTTCGGCGCCGTTCCCCCATTCAAATATTACATCAGGGGGTTGCCAGAAGGGGGATGTGCCCCCTTCTGTTTGGGGGGTTTGAAGGGGGGCGGAGTCCCCCTCATCGCCAAGAAAATTTTGGACTTGTGAGAGGCTTAAAATGACCCCAGGTCGATCATAAGGTAACGTGTAACCAACGCTGAAAGCCTTTGACTCTATATCTCAATCCCTTGAGAAGTTGCAGCACTTTGAAATAAATTTTGATGGAAAAAATCGAGGCAAAAAAGTGATTTTTGGCAATTTTGAGATGTCCCCTCGTTGCCATGGTAACAGGAAATTTAAGACTGAGCATGTCGTTAC